CGATTGATGACTGAGATATCGCAATATATCAACGTGATGTCCTGTATCAAAGAGATATCTCGAAATAGCATTGCTTAAAGCTACTAGTATCACTGAGCTATTGCTTTATGAAATATGTTCCTAGAGTTCAAAAAGAAAGGTAACACCAATTCATTTGGCTTGACAGGCACGTGTAAGTTCGTTTCCGTATTTGACAGTAACATGGAAGGAGTACCTGTCAGACTTTGGACGCAGTAAAAGACATATTGTTTTGTACAAGACAATCAGCTTGGCTGCAAAAAACATGCTGTTCACTATGGCTTTTTTTCGACTTACTGTTGCGGTTACATTGTCACCATTGAAATTTAAAATGGACAAAAATAGATATCTTCTTGACTGTGGTTTCTTAAAGTCATTTTTTTAAATACTGGGTGAATTCACCTGATATTGCCATTTAACTATAAGTTTACGTTACATTACACAACTAATTTGTTGAAAGAAACTAATTCCCCTAACTTCACATTATAGTGTTTTGTACAGAATAACATGACAGAAAAATACTAAATGGGAGTGATTTTTATCATTTCTCTTCATTCCTTGCCATAGTAGTTATTGTTCGTAGGATTTTAAAAAAGCATGTATCATCTCTACTTGTGTTTATGAATCATTTACGAGACATTACTTACTATTGCATATCGTAATCAATAAACAAAATTCCAAACCCAAATTTGCCTTCATAAAACCTTGACGAATATAAAATAACTGAAAGCTTACAACTAACTACACATTAAGCTGAAGTTTAGTTCTAATCCTAAAATCCATATTAGATATATCACGCGTTGAGAGATACCTAATAAACATGCAGTCAATATATACAAATCAAGTCATAGAAAAATAGCTTCGAAAGTTCCTACCTCATAGTTAAATTGTCTTTAACAGCAGCTACGGCCCAGATGGCATTAAGAAGAATGGAGTTTGATTATCGATGAACAACTAAGAAATCACAGTATGTCAACGTGTTGTCCTGTATCAAAGAGTTATCTGAAAATAGTATTGCTGAAAGCGGCTAGTCTCATTAACCTAGGACATTTTGGGATGTGTTTTAGAATCAAACCTAGGGCCTTCCTGTCCTGTTAGTGTAGCCGGTTCGGGAGGTACATGTAAATTTGTGTAGGCAGTTGTTTGTAACATATGACCGGTAAACGATGGAACTTCACCACCTACTTAGATCGGGTATGTGGCTTTCTTCACTGTAAGACTTTTACTCGTATCTGCGAAAACGAGTCGCAATTAGATCATCCCTAGGTTAGCCTTGGATGAGAGTTAGTCGAAAATTATGCTATTAAGGTAAACTTTCTGAGTGAAAATGTTTCCTTGATTGATGATGTAGGGTGTTATGACACACAGAATACCGTCCTCGAGTTACAGATACATAAGGAGTGGTTTTCCTCACCGCTAACCGATTTGGATCTTAATCTGTTGCATCTAATACGACAGAATAATATGAGTAACATTTGTTGAATGTGGAGACTGACCAATGTGATACCATTAATGTATATCCAAATGATAAGTTATTGGCCAACTGACCCTTAATACTTTGTTCAGATTACATAAACTCTAGTGTTAATCTGACGTCAAAAATATCATATAAAAAAGTGTATTCAGACATCAGCTTGATTTGTTTTGGGGATTAAATAAATCCTTACCACTTGTCTTTATTTTCTGACCGTGTGTCATTATACTTGGAGTTTCAGTAACAATTATGAGTCTGTTAGGCCTTCCGCAGACTCAATATTATATTATATTCATTCGTGGTAGAGAACCTATTTTGACCAAGTTGCCAGCTACGAAGAATCACAATTCAATGTGACCTCAATGTTCCTATGCTGTCTGAATGGCCATTCGGTGCCATCTAATTACCGAACCTATGAAGAACAAATGAATTGTGATAAACTTGCACGTTAACGGGAGATTCTTCCAAAATGCATGTACCTCAGACACTAAAGAAATACTTTCCAAGACGTGAATTAGGACTTGTACACTTCTTACTGATCACTTCTTGTTCCGTTTGATATATGTCAGAGCCTTTATTCGTGTTGAGTTCCAAAGTGCATGCCTTTACGTGCAACACAACGAGTTTTTCCTTACTATTGTATATAAGCCAAATGCCGAGGGCGGGAAAGTCAGCTCTCACATGGCCACGTGCATACAACCACTGCCACGGAAGTCCTGTATCAAGAGACATCCCGAAATAGCATTGCTTAAAGCCGTTAGTATCACTGAGCCTACGTTTAAATCCGGTTTCGTCACTCAGTTGCGTCAATACTGTGGGTTGGTTCGTTTACCCCTTGAAAGGATTATGCAATAGGATCATGATATGTTATATGACTACCTATCAGATTTACTTTGAGTCTTGATGATAAACAGAAGAGGATGTTGTACATGCACCCAAGAAAAACCTTTTAATCTGTTCTAAGGTGTAGCGAATGGCCAACAGTCCGTCTAAGTGTCTCTGTACACACTAGATACGTACGTGGCACTGTGACATTGGATGAACGTTCGTACCATCATCCTAAGTCACGATCATATGGCCATGGTAATTCACGGAGTCAAGACCACGTACCACTGCAGCTAAAGGGCTTAGAATCGTCTGGGAGTTATGATGAACTTTAAGATAGACCAACACATGTTCACCTCGGCAAACGGAACCTTAGTGTAATCAAAACTAGGTAACTGTATACAGGCTACAAGACACTGTTTCGACGCGACTGAGAACTTTTGAAGTACAGAACAGCGACAACCACGAGTGTAGCTTATCATACAATGAGCGACTTGAGGAATCGTATCAAATATGTGGATTAATTACGATGCATATATTGCCAAAAAATAATTTTGGACATGGTACATCTTCATTTCTTTTAGCTGTCATGAAAACTCAGATTTAGTGGAAAAGCTTAGGAACAAGTGACGAAAAAAATCCTCAGGGTATACAGGTTCCATCAAGTAATCAAGCCTTGGAAAGTACTAAACAAAGGAGTACTGTCTGAGCATCAGATCGATACACTGAAGAGAAGACTCGTGATATAGTATATGATCAGGTTATACCACAACCAAATGTATGGATAGCAAACATAAACAGCTATAAAGAAGTACGCTGTAAACAACGGACTGGTCAGTAAATAACAGCTCATCGACTGAAAAAGCATGGTCCACATGGCTTGGTCACGTCCTGTTTATACTATGCTTAGAACCACGTAGACCCAATAACTCCCCATCATGGATAACTAGAGGTCCAGAAAATTCTTTGAAGTAGGGGAAAGCGTTGGGATGTGTTTATCTCAACAGGCTCTAAACAGTGCACATCCATTCGTTATAAGACTAGGAACTCATGCAAAGCGTTGATAAGTAAGGCTAGACGTTTGTATAAAAAAAAACTTATTGAGGGTTGTGACAATAGTCCCAAAATATTGTTCGCGCATACAAAGAGGCTAACTCAAAGTGATGGGATCCCACCACTTTTGGTACAAGAAAATCCGTCGATATTGGCAAATGATGTGACAGAAACTGGAGCTTTATCAGATTACTGTAGTAGTGTTTTCTGCCGACGATAGTGAAATACCATCAATAAATTGTGGTAACGGAGACTAGTCGATGGGTCCTCTGGTTATTAATAAAGCAGCTGCTGTTAGAGATGTCTCACAATTACTTCAACATCTGAAACCAGATAAGTCCAGTGGTCCCGACGATATTCATCCTAGGATTATGGGAGCCCTGGAGGATGTAATTACTGAACCTCTGGCGATACTGTTTCGTATGTTTGAGGTAGTCAAACCTGCTAACGGACTGGAAAAATGCAATGATCAGTCCGGTTCATGAAGTACGGAGCAGAAACTTATTAACTATCAGTCCGTTAGTTTAACCAATGTAGGTGTTAAACTAACGGAAATTATTTTTCGGATGGCTATTTTGAACTGCGTAAAAGGAAGTGACTCTTTAGCCAAGAAACAACATGGTTTAATGAGAGGTTTTTAATGCTTGGAAAATCTGCTCGTTGAAAGAGAAGATTGGGCTGTGGTGAAAGACAGTAGTATTCTGGTAGATGTAATTCTTCACATATCTAAGTAAACCTTCTGACCAAGTCTTTTGTTTGAATCCTACATTAAAACTGAAGCTTTGGGGTCCATTATCTAATCAAGAACTGGATAATTGACTTTCTCAGTGATAGGAGACAATGGGTACGGGGCTATATCGACGTGGAAATCTGTAAAATGTGGAGTTTCCCAGGGTGAAATGTTTGCCTCTCTACGTCCTCCTACATTATGTAAATGACTACCAACTGCAGCAAAGTCATCAGTCGTACATTTTGCAGATGACATGAAGATGTGAAGGCCCATGCATGGTCTGTTAGAATATTAAAGTATGACCTAAATTCACCGGCTGCATGGATATATAGGTGGTCATTAGAACTTAATCATAACGAGAGTGCAGTGATGTCAATAAGTAACTGCGACGATTCAAGTCACTACAAAATAAGTGAAATTGTGTTACCTAGGAATCATAATAATGAATGACAGCAGAACTACGAATAACTTTGGGGTTGATGCTGCCAAGTACTCCAGGATCTTGCGAAATATTCGTAGGTTACTCCATTACTTGGGCGAAATGTTCAGGGTATTATACCCGACTTTTGTAAGGCCGCATTCGGAATGTGGGATTCAAGCAGAGTCATTGTTTTAAGTGTGAGGGGGATATGCTGGAACGAGTTTGATGAAGTGCCTATCTTATAAATACAGATTCAGTTGACCCAACCTATTACCATTATCTTACTACAGGTTACGGAGTGACCTAACACTGGCCCACCGTATGCTGATACCGGTATTCATGTCTAATATCTCCTTTCCATCTAGAACTAATCATCTGAGAGGGCATTCTAAGAGAACTCAAAAATCGAGATCAAACCGTTGAAGCGCCGAGTTCCGTTTTGAGCAGTGAATTAGTGGAATACTCTACCAGAACACGTAATATCATTATTTATTTATTTGAACACATGAATATTGGTACAAGAGAGCGCCAATATATATGCGCCACACAAAACAATGAAAATTCGAAGAGAAATAGAAAGAAAAAAAAACTAAGGAGCGCAAAAAAAAAAGAGAGAACAATAACGAAGAGATTGGTGTAAGGTAGTGTGGTAGTAACGAGGGAACGAAAGGTACAATCAGAAGAAATCTTTCAGGTAAGGGAGACACAACCACTTTTTATGAAGAAAGTAAAAGAAGGTTACAGCAGGATCGCCACTGGCTTCTATTCTGAGCCATATCTGATAACGTCTCTAGCCACTGTGTAGCACCATCTCTCAGACCCCAACCAGGGAGTCGTGAAGGACCAACACAAGCCAGTCCTTTGCAGCTTTCTTTCATGCCACGACACCATGTCATGCACTGACCACCTCTCCGCTTCTTCCAACCAGTCCCAGAGTCGGCAAATAATGCACGACGTGGAATTCTCTGGGACGACATTCGGAGAACATGTCCAAGCCACCGAAGTCGGTGTTTCAAGATGGTGACACCAATTGAATTATCATCTCTGTGCCCGAACACACGATGCCGAACCTCTGCATTACTGACATGGTGTTGCCACTGAATGTCAGCAATCCTTCGGAGACAGCGATGATCGAACACAGAGAGTCGTCTAACGTCCTCAACTCGGAGAGGCCAGGTTTCACAAGCATAGAGCAAAACTGCTCTCACCGACGCGTTGTAGATCCGACCTTTTACAGCCAGACTAACATCACGAAGGCGCCAAAGGTGGCCCAGATTGGCATAAGCCGCTCTGGCTTTCACTATTCGTGCATTGATCTCATCACTCACACCCCCACCAGCACTTATGCAGCTACCCAGATACACGAACTTCTCGACTACGTCTATCTGCTCACCATCCAGGGTGAGTACAGGATTAGAATCCTGCCAGTCTTGTAGAAGTACTTTGCACTTCGAAGGTGCAAAGCACATACCATACCTACGGACACTGATTGCCAACTGATTAAGTGCGGATTGCATGCCTTGGGCATTATCGCACAGTAAGACAATATCGTCCGCATACTCAAGGTCGAGAAGTCTTTCTCCAGGCAACAGATCCACACCACCATTACTTACATTCATCAGAGCTGTTTCCAGAATGTCATCGATGGCAAAGTTGAAGAGGAATGGTGAGATTGGGCAACCCTGCCTAACCCCACTGCTCGAATGGAACAATGGAGAGAGGTGGTTGTATGCCCTCACTCTGCCTGAGGTGTTTTTATATAGGGCTTTTAGGATGTTAATAAACTTCTCAGGCACACCCTTCTTCAATAGACAATCCCAGAGAACAGTCCTGTCCAACGAATCGAAGGCAGCCCTGATGTCAAGAAACACTACGATTGTTGGCCTTTGATAAGTATGGCGGTGTTCTAACATTTGGCGGAGGGTGAAGATATGATCAATACATCCTCGACCAGAACGAAACCCAGCCTGCTCCTCGCGAGTCAATCTTTCTCGGGTTTTGAACAACCTACGAAGTATGACGGAAGCCAATAGCTTGGACGCAATCGGAAGTAGACTTATCCCCCGATAGTTGTTACAGGAACGACGTGAACCCTTTTTAAAGATAGGGACAACTATCGACTCATTCCATGACGTTGGTACACTCTCTAGTTCCCAAACCTTTGTAAACAACGTCGTCAATTCCTTAGTCAAAAAGTCACCACCATCTTTAAAAAGAGCCGGAGGTAAGTCATCTGGGCCAGGTGATTTGTAACGCTTCAAGAGTTGGAGTTCCTTGCGGACTTCCTCCTCGTTTGGTGGATCAGTCGTCACCGGCCATGGAGGGCAGGACAGTCTGACCGATGTTGCCGGAGCAGCAGGCCAGTTGAACTGCCCTTCGAAAAATTCTGCCCATCGTCCAAGACGTCGATGGATGTTAGTGATTGGCATCCCATCATCCTCGCAGATTGTTTCACTCACACCAGACTTCTTGCTGCCAGTGGCTCGGATGAGCTGGAAGAGCTTCCGGTAGTTACCAGATGCAGCTGCTGCTTCCAGCTCATTAGCACGCTTCGACCACCAGGCTTCTCGGTCCTTACGCAAGCTTTGCCCAATTTCCTTACGTAACATCCTTCGTTTATGGTCAAACTCACGGTCACCCGGAGTAGACCGACGGGCTTCAATGAGTTGTAAGGAACCAGAAGAAACCCAGTGCTTAAAAGCGGGACGTTTCGCAAACCCACAACTGACTGTTCCCGCCATTTTCATGGCGTCATGCAATTGCAACCAATGCTCATCTATACTTTTCGGTGGAGTGGTAGCTAGCCTAGAGGCTAGCTCGGTTCGATACTTACTTGCAACAGAAGTTGCAACCAGCTTGCTAACATCAATCCGTTGATGGCGGTCACTTCGTTGTCCACTGAAAAGTAAGGCAAGATTGGCGCAGACCAAGGCATGGTCAGAGTCCAGATAGGTACTCCAAAAGGAGCGGCAGTCTTTACACAACCACGCCAGCGGTAGCTGATCGCGATGTGATCAATCTGAGTCCAGGCTTGAGATGCAGAGGGAGGACGCCAGGTGGCACATCGGCGATGACTGTGCCGAAAGTTAGTGCTAGCCAGAAACAGGTTGTGGTCTGTGCAAAGTTGCAGTAGACGGTCCCCGTTATCTGACCTGCGACCAACGAGTCCCCATCGGCCACCTAAACGACTCTCTTCTGTGCCTAGACGCCCGACCTGAGCATTCAAGTCTCCGGCTAGTACTACAATATCTGTCGAACGCACTTTCTGGAGAAGAACAGATAACTGGTGGTAAAACTCATCCTTGATTGCATCCGGGCTGCAATCTGTCGGGGCATAGGCGGAGATGACGAAAAGACATCGTTTCTCACGCCGATTTCTTCTCACTTTGATGGAACTTTCTAATCTAACAGCACATAACCGACTGTTAATGGGGATCCAATCGACTAGTGCTGCCTCAGCTCTAGCGCTTAGTGCGACACCAACGCCAGCAAGACCAGACGAAGATGCCACAGGGTCCCCGGATAAGCGCACGTAAAACAAGCTTTTCGAAGCGACAGATGGAGATCGAATTTGTAGTACTTCGCCAGAGTCTTGAATACGGGTCTCGGATAGACAACAACATCAATATTAAGACTTTCCAAAGACATAGCCAGCCCTATCTGTTGTCCGACCTGCATAAATGTGCGAACGTTGAAGGCAGCCAGTTTGAATGGTGCACGTGGTTTCAGAAAAACTGCTTCAGTCCTCGTATTCGGTGGTAACATACAATTTTCAACCGGACAGTGACTCGAGAACGTTTAGATACAGTCGAATTTCCACCAAAGACGAGCCGCTGTATAAGTATAAAAGAGGGTGAATAATGTGGAAAATAATAATAATAATAATAATAATAATAATAATAATAATAATAATAATGACAATATTTGTAATGATAATAATTTGAATCAATTGATTGTTTTTCGAAGCGAGAAAGTAATTTCCATAGACATAAAGAGTTCATCATTTGTGTGTGGGCTGTGATACTGCCCGGGTGCCCAAACCGAAGCAGGTGGTTATCTTAGGGGGCCACTCCCCGAGCCTTTGACCTAAAGGTCTAACCCACAAGGCAGTGGAGCATCGTAAGGAGATGCAATCCCATGGTAGCCGGTGACCAACGATTGGTTCATACGCCATTTGTTCCCGCAGGATACTGGAGCCCATGTGCACCATTGGTTTGGAATCCGGTTAAAGCGCCGGACATTCGCATACATATTCAAACCGAGATAGCATATTTACAGTTCTATAAATTGTAAGGACCTTTATATAAGTAGACTAACCCCCTATTCCTTATGCTGAAGATTACAACAGCGCAGAAACCTCAGGAAGAAAAGACAAGCAAGCCTACTGCCTTCAAAGCACACACCTGATTATCTGAACCCCGTCTTGGAAAAGTGCTCAAACAAGGGGCGTTAACAAGATTTTACGCATCAGCATCCTCACCTAAAACCTACTTATACACGTTTTAAATTAACACTGACGCGGGACAAATAAAATATTTCTAGGTTTTCGTAACCGAATGTAATAACTATTACATTACTACGAATTTAGATTCATAGTAAAAAAAAGCCCATTACCTGCTAATATGTGGATGAGACTAGTACCTTCGGGAATTCAGACAACAACACCACTTAGTTCTACAACGTCTAGTTAAAGTTTGAGGAGCTTACAAGAGAATGTTGATTTTCATACACACTCTTCGGTACCCGAAACGGACACTTCATCTACAGGATGTTTCAGATCCCTCAACAATAAAAATAGAGAATAGCCGAGGGTTAAAATCATGAGCATATATTATTCAAGTATTCAAATAGAAAACCAAATATGTAAAAATGAAGGCATTATGATGACATAGAATCAGCCTCAACACCTTTGATTTTGCGTTTGTTCAGCTTTGTCGTTTTTTGATTAGCTATAACATAATGATAAAGGACCACTAACAGAAAGAGGACAGAGCCAGCCAAATTTGCAAATACCGTCAACTGTACGTCCGTAATCATTGCTAGTAACCGAAGTACCGCTTTACACGTTACAACCTCCAAGAATTCAATTCCCAATAACTGATATATTTATGATCAGCTTGCATAAACCGAGTGTTGTTTTCCGCTTGCTTCCTATTGCCTTGGAAAAACTCTACATCTCTGAAAATTTATGATGAACATTAATACAGTCACTTAACTAAACCAGCCTAAATCAATTTGGTTCTTGTTTCTGTTTGTGTGCCTAATAATCTAAGCGAGTGTTTTTGTCTTAGGATAGTAGGGTCATAAAAATCAGTGGCTATTGAATTAGCGGGCAGGTTGCTGGTTTGTTGCAAAGTAACGAATGTCAAAGAAGTCTCAATTATTAGAGCTAAGAAAAGAGGATCGTTTGATGTAAATTAACCAAGCGGATAGTGCGAACAGACAGAGCTGTTCAAATGACAGGTAAATAGGGATGACGAGGAGATTGACAAAAACAATTCGACGTACTGTGAACTACGTTTGAATGAATAAATGACTGTTGTCTTTAGTCGCGAAGCAATATTTTATGTCCTCAATTACGTTAGTCTTACCGGCCCGTAGTTTGTTTTTCAGTTTATGGGTTTAATAATTTATAGTCGGTTAATTTATGTTACATTTCTGTTCAAATGAAGCAATAATTATGCCACTCCTTTATTACACTTACATATGCCTGTTATCCAGGGTGGAGGGTTATATTTCGCTCATCGACATTTTCTATCCGACTCTGTCCTGGACGATCCATTTAAGTTTCTACTCATCCTATTCATGTCTATCTAAACATTCCCATCGTGAAAATTAGAACAACACATATAAGTGAACAATTGTTTTCAGTTAGATTGAAGATGCAACAGGTATTCGGAGTTTGACAACGCTTTAACCAGCAACACATAATATGAATCGTAAACACCAAGTGAAATCAAAAGACAGAAGCGATGAGGTTCGAAGATATATTTGATAGGCTATCAATATATCGAGAATCGTCTGATCTAATCTGGCTAGAGATTGCAGTAGATGTTGAGCACAGCGTTCCCACTCGTGATCTGGTGCGGATGCATGACCGGGCGCCTTCAGCTAGGTGAGTCCATTAAAACATGTGGTTAGCATCCAATGTCGAAAACTTATTTTGGGGATTTATTTACCGCTACAGATCACTCCCCTCTTAGTGTTGTAGTGATGACCCTAAGACGTGACCAGCCAGAAGTTTAAACGCAATGAGTTTGTCGTTGGTAAGCACTCTTCTGATAGCTTGCTAGGTTTAGCAGCGTCTGGTGTCCATGAAATACAATATGGTAAAGAAATAATGTACAATGAAGATTTTCGGTTCCTCGTAAACGTCATCGTTCTTTTTATCATCTTTTCCAGTTGTCCTGGAAAAGAAAAGAAGAATATGTAAGTGCATGTCGAAATAAACTCGTACGCTCTTTAAAACACAAAATGGACGAAAAAAGGGAAATAATGTAAAAGCGATTTTTACAAAATTTTTTTTATAAAGAAATTTTTTGACATACATATTAGCCAAATAATAAATATATATAAATATAAGCATATAAAAATTGATTTTTTTAAATATTATAAATGATGCCATGGAAAATCGAGATGAAACAGAATGTTGACTGGTGTCTTACGTGCAGTGGTCGTTTAAATGTTCTGGAAATCTTACCCTTCTTCCAGAACGCGTTGTTTTAAGTTTGTCTTCAGATACTGTCGAAGTATCATCGTGCGTGTTGGTTGTCGAATGAGGTATTATAAGTGTAGGAGTCGTATCGTACGACTTTACCCACGGAAAATCGACGTAGATAGGATTTCCTTCTAAATACGCTGCTTTTAAGCGATCGATGCTGATGCTATCGTTGGTTCCGTTCTTATCGACTATATAGTACTTAGATTCACGTTGAAGAACTTTGAAGGGTCCTTCGTATGCTGATTCGAATGGTCGTCGATGCGAGTCTCGACGAATGAAAACGTGTGTACTATATGGTAAGTCAGGTTGAACGAAAACATCAGTTGATTGAGGTCGAGTGGAAGCAGGTTTAACTGAACGCATTGCGTTTGTAAGCCTGTTCGTGTAGGAGGTTAGATCCATGTTCATCGAAGAGCACGAAGGATCCACGAATTCTCCTGGAAGTCGAAGTGTCGTTCCATAAACGAGTTGAGCCGCAGTGTATCCAATGTCAGCTTTCACTGCATTGCGGATACCTAGTAAGACGAGTGGAAGAGCGTCGGTCCATTGTGAAACGTTTGCAGCTGATAGCGAAGCTTTCAGTTGTCGGTGAAAACGTTCTACCAACCCGTTTGCTTGGGGATGGTAGGCGGTCGTTCGGAAGCGAGTGATTCCTAAAAGTGTGGTCAGACGACGGAAAAGATCAGATTCAAACTGACGTCCGCGGTCTGTAGTGATGGTTGAAGGGCAACCGAAGTTTGCTACCCATCGTTCGACGAATGTGCGGGCCACTGTTTCAGCAGTGCTGTCCTTGATAGGTACTGCTTCTGGCCATCGAGTGAAACGGTCTACGCAGGTTAAGAGATAAGAGTATCCATTTGAATCTGGTAAAGGTCCTACCAAATCCAGATGAACATGGTCGAAACGAGCATCGGGAGTTTTAAACGAGCCTAAGGGACATTTATTGTGTCTGATAACCTTAGATTTTTGGCAGCTTACACAGGAGCGTGCCCACTCCCTCACGTCTTTATTCATGCCAGGCCAGCAAAATCGTTCTGCTATAAGCTTGATGGTTGCACGAACACCTGGATGAGAAAGTTTGTGCAATGTGTTGAAGACATTGCGTCGATAATGTTTCGGCACGATTGGGCGATCCCTACCTGTAGATGTGTCACAAAGTAAGGTTTCCTTACCTGTTTCCATCTGTTTGATGCGTAGTTTAAGTGTTGTGGACGATAACTCGTGCTGAAGATCAGTGTCTTCTTTTTGAAGCTCGGCGAGTTTAAGAAGGTCGATTCCTTGGAAACTGTTCAAGGAAGTTATACGAGATAAAGCGTCTGCAACTACATTGTTTGCTCCAGAGATGTGTTGAATATCTGAAGTAAACTGCGAAATGTAGTCCAGTTGTCGAGACTCACGGGGAGAGTACTTGTCAGAAGGAGAGCTTAACGAGAAAGTGAGCGGTTTATGGTCCGTGAAAAGAGTGAATTCACGGCCTTCGATATAGTGTTGGAAATGCCGTACAGCACAATACATAGCTAGGAGTTCCCTACCGAATGTGCTGTACCTCGATTCGGTGTCTAGCAACCGTCTAGAGAAAAATGCCAAAGGTTGCCAGGAGTGGTTAACCCATTGTTGTAAGATTCCCCCGATTGCTGAGTCGGATGCGTCTGCTGCGATACTGATGGATGCTTCAGTGTCTTGATGTGCAAGCATTATTGCTTTTGCAATAGTTCCTTAACTGTGGAGAATGCTTTTCATGAGGTGTCGTCCAAATTTATGGATTTCGCATTTTCACGAAGTTTGTCAGTAAGAGGTTTCATAAGTAAAGCGCATTTAGGTGTGAATCGTCTATAGAAACTTACCAGGCTGTTAAACGTTTGTAACCGCTTGATCGTGACCGGTTCTGGGTAATCCAGAATTGCCGCCACTTTGGTCCTAAGTGGTCGAATGCCTCGCGCATTCATAGTGTGTCCTAGAAAGTCTGATGAGTCAGTTCCGATTTGGCATTTTTGAATGTTTACAGTAATGCCATGTTTTTGTAGTCAGTCGAGAACAAGATCCAGATGCTTGAGATGTGATTCTTTGTCCGGATTTGCTATAAGACAGTCGTCAAAATACGCATAAACGAAGTTGAGACCTCGAAAAAGGTCGGCTATAACCCTTTGGAAGGTTTGTGCAGCGTTTCTTAGGCCGAAAGGCATTCGAAAAAATTAGTAAAGTCTGAAGGGAGTTATGATAGCTGTTTTCGGAATGTAGTCAGTGGCCATGGGAATTTGGTCATAAGCTCTAACCAAGTCGATTTTCGAAAAGACAGTTGTACCTTTCAAGGTAGCTGTCAAATCGTGAATGTGAGGCAACGGGTAACGATCGGGAATGGTTTTCGCACTCAATCGCCGATAGCCACCAGTTGGACGCCAATCGTTGCTGTTCTTTTTAGGGACCATGTGAAACGGAGATGCCCATTGGCTGTTTGACGGTCTTATGATACCTAAGTCTATCATGTGATCGAACTCGTATTTCGCCAACCTTAGCTTCTCGGGGGCTAGTCGGCGTGCTTTAGAGAATACAGGTGGTCCTGTAGTTGTGATGTGATGTGTAACGTTGCTGGTCACACACGGTAGTTTCGGTTGCGTTTGTTGTATCCCAGGATACTTATCGAGAAGTGGCTGATAAAGTGGGTCTATCATATGCTTAATTGTGAGTGGAGATACTCTGCAACCAGAAAAAGAAGTTACGCAAACAGATAAATTAGTGTTTCCGTCCACTAGCCTTCGTTTGCGCGTATTGATGAGTAGATTATGGTGTTTTAAAAGGTCCATACCAATGATTGGCATAGAAAAATCTGCAACAACGAAGGTCCAGTGAATGGGTTCGTGTAAACCCACGTTAAGGTAAACGTACCTTTTGCCATACGTAGCGATAGGTTTTCCGTTTGCTGCCTGTAAGTTTAGATTCGTGAAGCCGGTCGTTAGGATTAGCTAGGAGAACGCTAACTTCTACGCCAGTATCGACGAGGTAGTGAACTCTCGCTGTCACATCTGTGACGCATAACAGACGGCTATGTTCGCCGGCTACGGCTGCCGTTAATGCGTGCCGGCTTGGAAGTTTCCCGAGTTGTTTTTCGTGTCGGTCGATTTCGAGCTGGGAAAATTGCAGGGTTTTCTGCAATTTCTGGAAGACTTTCCATACTGGTTATGATACCAGCACCAATCGGGGTTATTAATCTCTCCTCGTCTAGAGACAGATCGCCTACGTGAAGTGCTTCTTCGCGGAGTGTGTGACAGTTTACGGTCGTTACGAAAATTAAGATGACGTGTAAGTGTATGACATAACTCTGTAATGTTATTCTGGGTCGTTTGAGGATTTTCTTTGACTGAAAAACCTCGGTA